CACACACACACTCCCAGGGGCCCTGACCAGGAACTGCACCCAAACAGCGGAGCCACATCGGCCACGGCTCATTTTTTTGTTTAGTTTTAATTCACTCAAAAAAGGAAAAGGTGGACCTTCTCCATTTCAAGCCACTCCCCTCCCCCTGGGCTCCAACCCCCTCCTTGCCTTCCTTTTTGGGACCCTCCCCTCTTTCCCTTGAGCTTGTAACCATGCTAATCTCCCTCATTAAAAAAGAAATCATCCGACCCCAAGTCACAGCAACTCCAGTTCTTTCCCGCTCCATTCCTTGTAAGATAGTCTTATCAACACTCTTTTTCTTTTTCTTAATATATTTTTATGCCCTGGCTGGTGTGGCTCAGTGGATAGAGTGTCGGCCTGGGGACTGAAGGGTCCCAGGTTCAACTCCAGTCAAGGGCACGTGCCCGGGTTGCAGGCTCGAACCCCAGTAGGGGACGTGCAGGAGGCAGCCGATCAATGATTCTTTCTCATCATAAAAGTTTCTCTCTCTCCCCCTCTCCCTTCCTCTCTGAAATCAATAAAAATATAGGAAAATAAATAAAAATATAGCCCTAACCGGTTTGGCTCAGTGGATAGAGTGTCAGCCTGCGAACTCAAGGGTCCCAGGTTCGGTTCTGGTCAAGGGCATGTACCTTGGTTGCGGGCACATCCCCAGTAGGGAGTGTGCAGGAGGCAGCTGATCGATGTTTCTCTCTCGTCGATGTTTCTAACTCTCTATCCCTCTCCCTTCCTCTCTGTAAAAACTCAATAAAATATATTTAAAAAATAAATAAAAAAATAAATAAATAAAAATGGCTTCAACTAGTATGCATTCTATTTACTGGAAAATGTACATATTCAGGATTAGCTTTCTTATGATCTATTTCCTCACTTAATTAGGTCTTCCCTTCCTTGGACATCCTCACGACACTCTATAAGAATGAACCATGATATAAAAGAAAGACCCATCATAAGCATTGCACTCTCTAAAGCCTTTCTAGACTTCTGATCCTGGCCTCTGACCCACGCAGTGCCCAGCGAACACCCTCCGATGTGACCTTTCAGAGATCCTTCTGGATGCTTCCCCAACCGCCGGCTCACCTGACTGCTGGCTCCTTCAGGCCCTTTTTATACCTGGGGAAAGGATGTTGGGAGGAGAGGCTCAGGAAGTGACGTTGGGACCAGAGGTCCTGATCCCGCCCTGGCTCCCACCTCCAGGCGCTCGGTCGGCCCAGCCCTGCACGGAGTCTCACCTCCTCAGGAAGAAGATCAGCAGGCCCACCAGGGTGAGGAAGAGCAGGACCCCGACAACAGCCCCGGCGATGACCCCTGTGGGAGGAGGCACGGGGAGCCATTAGGGCCTAGGTCCTAGCTCTCCTAGCTCCTGACACCCCATCTCTCCTGCCTCCACCTTTTTTATTTTTAAACTAGAGGCCGGGTGCAAAAATATTTGTGCACTCAGGGGGGGTGCCTCAGCCCGGCCTGTGCCCTCTCGCAGTCTGGGACCCCTCGGGGGATGACCACCTGCTGGCTTAGGCCC